CTATTATGAGATGCTTCTGAAAGAAACTACTCTCTCTGCTGTGAATGACTTCAGTTTAAAGCAATGCAAGGAGTTTGCTTTCGAGAGAAAGCGGAAAAGGCCAGCACACGGACAGAGTGCTGCGAGACCCGAGCAGGGCATCTTGCGGCTTTCTTTGGACCTGCCCAGTCTGCCTGCCGTTCCGTGCCGTGTTCCGGGAATGGCGGACTTGACAGTCCACTTTGATAACTGGAGTCATTCATCCGGTCATAGACGAGGATTCATACAATGCACACGGCATGCGAAGTGCCGGCGATACAGCTTCCTCAAGAGCCATTGTGACCAGGCCACTTGTGTGGCCTGGCTTCTGGTTTGGTGCCAAGAGGGACACAGATTCGAGGACACCCGCCAGCATGTTGCATTCAACCCAGACCCCGCTTCTGTGTCCCGAATGAAAGAGAGGCAGCGGCTGGGTGCGTGAACCAATTCGCATGATGAAGGAAATTTTTCTACTTTGTGCAGATCGTTGCAGCATGTTGCAGCAGCTTGTCGTTATATGTTGCACAAAAAGTTGATGGACAGTTGCATGCCCGTAATGTGATGTTCGATTCTGATTTCTGAGCACAGCAGATGAACGATCGATTTCAGTTTTCATGTCTTGCCTGCACAGCACATCAGCATGTCAGTGAGAGTTGTTTGGCAGAGCAGTGCTTGATGGTTCTGTTGCCGCTGTTGCCGTTTCCGCAGCTTTTTTGGAGCCTCCATGCTGCAGCTGTTCCTGCGTGGAGGCGGGGCCGCTGTGGGACCTTTACTGTAAAGAGGGTTAGGGCGGGAGTTTTGGATGTTTTTTCCAGGGTAGAGAAAGCAGCTCGTGCAGCCAGACGTGGCGGCGAGCAAGCAAGTTCAAGCAGGGCTCGTGCAGCCAACGTGGCGGCGAGCAAGAAGAAAGGCTCGTGCAGCCCCGACGGGGCGGCGAGCAAGAAGAAAGGCTCGTGCAGCCCCGACGGGGCGGCGAGCAAGAAGAAAGGCTCGTGCAGCCCCGACGGGGCGGCGAGCAAGAAGAAAGGCTCGTGCAGCCCGACGTGGCGGCGGGCAAGAAGAGAGGCTCGTGCAGCCCAACGTGGCGGCGAGCAAGAAATACTCATGCAGTCGGTGCCTTGGTGCTGTCGGAGGGCCGGAGTCTTTCTCGACTTGCAGGCCCCGACGGTACTTAAGGCATGCAGGCGGTGAGTCCAGGAAAGGGCTGAGGGATGAGGGTGAGGGATGGGGTGTTGGGGTATGTTAGGATTGACAGTTTTGTTTTTGAGTGCCTTGCCGCCAGGCCGATTGAAGCCGATGCCGGAGCCGAAGCAGGGCCCCAAGCCGCGAGAAGAGAGCTCGGATTCAGAAAAGGACAAGCCTGCGGGCAAGTCCAATTCCTCGGACAAGTCCGAGGAGAAATCCGAGGAAAAGTCCGAGGACAAGTCCGAGGAGAAATCCGAGGAAAAGTCCGAGGAAAAGTCCGGGAGCGGCAGCGAGGAGAAGAGCGATGGCTCGGCAGACTATGGGAAATCCAAGAGCAAGTCGCACTCCCGGGGCCGGAGCCGCAGCCGACGGGCAAAGAAAGAGAAGAAAGATAAAAAAGAGAAAGATAAAAAGGAGAAGAGGAAGACTTCCCCTTTTGATGCCCTGCTGAAGCAGGGCGGCCATGATGAGGGCACCGGCCTCACCGGCACCGGGGCCGGGGATGATGACGAAGAGGAGAAGAAGACATGGGGGCCCTATGGGGCGGTCCATGCTTTCAAGATCGCCGAGTTGGAGACGGTGAAGCCGGCAGGATATACGAAGCAAGGACAATGGGTGGAGGAGAAGGTGCGGTGCCCAATATGTTGGGCAATCAAGCCAAGAAGCACGCTGTTCATGCACATAACATCGAACAGCGGCTGCATGTCATGGCAGCAAAAGCTGCGGGGATTGGAACCCCCGCCAGCAAAGTTCCCTTGCCGCTTCTGCGGCAAGGCGTTCTTTAAGGCGCCAGACCGCGAGCAGCACGAGTACGGCTGCGGCGCCAAAAAGCCGGCAGAGCCCAGTGAGCCTCCGCAGGAGCCAAAGGAGCGGAAAAACAAGAAGAAAGAGAAGAAGAAGGATCACCGGGACAAGAATGATGAAAAGGAAAGGGCACGGCCATGCTCCTGGTCCGAGGTGTCGAGGCGAGGCGGGCTATCGAGGCGAAGCGTCCGAAGCGAGGCCTCCAGGCCAAGCAATGCCTCGGTAGCCTCGCCGCCGAGATCGAGGGGAAGCTCGCGCGAGCGACGGAGCCGGGGCGCTGTGGTGATAGTGCCCCGCCGTGGCCGGGATGTCATCGATGTCCCGTCTGTCTCCGTGCAGAGGCAGCGGTTGGACTCCCGCAGCCGAGGCCGGGGCCGCAGCAGATCCAAGCACTCCCGGCGCCGCCAGGAGAGTCGCCAGAGACAGAGTCGGCAGGGCCAGAGCCACCAGAGCGAGGGGGGCGAATCCTCAGATCAGAGGGTGGTGGCGTTCAACCGACTTCTGTCTTTGGGCGAGAGGATCCTCTGAAGGGCCCCTGAAGGGCAAGCGGCAAGCACAGGGTGTGCCTGCAGCCAGGTTTTAGATGTTGTATGTATGTGTTGTGTGCACACAGATATCCATACCTAATATGTTAGGAAATAAGTAGGGTGTTTTTCCGAGCTGCAGGGCACCGATGCTGTTAGGCCCTTCGTTTCACACAGAATGGGCAGGCACAGGGAGAACTATAGTATCTAAGGGGTTACAATATGTCACACTAGGTTTTATAGCACGATAGGTCTCAGAAGCAGTGTGTAGATGTGCCAAGCCGACACTACAGTTGCAAACTTCACCGTGCCGGACCGCACGATGCAAAAAACAGGGCATAGCAGTGCAAACCGTTGTGTATCACAGTCGAAAGCAGGGCTTCAAGGATTTTTTGTGGTATCGCGAGGGTTTGGGGTGGAGGTTCGACAACCCACTGGATTCCAGGCTTAAGTAGGGGAGGGGTTGTGTCCCTCCCATGTCCCTCCCGTGTCCCTCCGGTGTCCCTCCCGACCCGCCGGGTCGGACCGGCCGCACCCCCGGTTTCCTGTGGCAGTCCAGGGGCCTCCCCGGCCGTCCCGCCACCGTCCCGCCACCGTCCCGCCACCGTCCCGCCCTGTCCCGCCCCTGTCCCGCCACTGTCCCGCCACTGTCCCGCCACTGTCCCGCCACTGTCCCGCCACTGTCCCGCCACTGTCCCGCCACTGTCCCGCCACTGTCCCGCCACTGTCCCGCCGGTGTCCCGCCTCTGTCCCGCCACCGTCCCGCCGCCGTCCCGCCACCGTCCCGCCACCGTCCCGCCACTGTCCCGCCACTGTCCCGCCACTGTCCCGCCACTGTCCCGCCACTGTCCCGCCACTGTCCCGCCACTGTCCCGCCACTCCCGCCACGGTGTCCCGCCACTGCCCGGCACTGTTCCGCCGGTGTCCTGCCACTGTCCCGCGACTGTCCCGCCACTGTCCCGCCACTGTCCTGCCTTTTCAAGACTGTTTCCAGGTTCTTTTGCTGCTTGTTTGGCTCGCGAGGGTTGAACCAGTATCTAAAGTCTTCACACACAACACACACAGTTGTCACACATCGCATGCTGTTTGCTCTATGCTTGCAAATGCGAAGCTGCGAAGCTTCTGTATGCACGGAACAACACAACTTTTGAACTCCGAGTCTTCAGGCACGAATCATGCATAGTCATGCAGTGAGAGAGTCATGCAGCTGCTCTTAGCGGTCTGTTGCACACCATCAGGCATGCAAGAGAAAAAAGAAACACACGTCAGCTCACCTTTCATTGCTTCCACCATTTCCACCACCAGATTTGCTCCCCGCCATCTTGAATGCTGAGTTTCCAGCACCACCGCCACCTGGCCTGATGGCTAGGTGGCGGTGTGCGGGATCTTTCGTGCCGGCCGGCCTCACCACTTGCTGTTCCTTTGACGGAGGCAACCGTGCGGGTCTCCTCCTCTCTTTCGACCCTTTGAACCGCACGGCTACTCTGTGGCGAAGCACCCCGCTTCCTTTTGTCTGACATGCTGACTGCTAGCAGAAGGTTGATGCTTGAACACACATTCTGCGGATCAGTTTCAACCTTTGTGTTTGCAGCTTGGCAAGAAGGTGCATTCCCGTCAAGATTTGTCTCACAGTGGCTTGTTAGCTAACTAGTTAGAAAGGGAACCGTCCCCTTTGGAAAGAAGGACCGGTGGGCACCGGCCTGCCGGCCAATGGCCGACGATCATCTGGACACAGAGATCGCCGGCTACAGGGCCGGACGAGTGCTGCGGGTTCTTGGCCGCCCTTTGAGGGTGACTGAGCCTTGTGTTGGACTGGGAGGGCTACGACGGTTGTGTGAGCTGTCAGGAAGCCAGTACCTGTCCACACAGGGCTTTGACACGGAAGCTTCCTTGCTTCCCTACTACAATAACTTGCAGAGGTTTTGTGGTGCTAGCGGTGTCCAAGCCTTGAGATTGGGCACTGACGGCGATGTGGAGAAAGTTAATCCGGAGAGCTTGTTGCCCGTGGAAGCCATTGTGGCTGGCCCCCCGTGCCAGCCATGGGCAGGAACCGGACAGCAGCAGGGCACAGCTGATGCAAGAGCTTCGGTCATGGATGTCTGCATCGGCTGGATCATAGCTCAGGCTTGGCAGGGTCAGCTGCTAGCCTTCGCTGTGGAAAACAGCCCCCGGCTGCGTGGAACTCCATATCTGCGGGAGCTGCTGCAGCGACTGCGGGCGTGCATCCCCATGTTTGCTGTCTCCGTGGAAGTGCATGACCTGTGTCAGCTTTGCCCGCAGCACCGGGAGCGTTTGTGGATCCGGGGCTTGAGGAGGGATTGCCTCCGAGGCTTGCCTGGCCTGCCGCCGCCTTTGAGCATGAAAGACCTCGGTGGCAAGGTGAAGGTGCCTTTGGAGACCGTGTTGGTCGAAAAACATGGTCATGGAAAGGTGCTTAAACCGACGGACCCAGGATCACTCTGCCCAAACATGCAGTGCAACTTGGCGGCCTATTTGACTCGTGTGCAGGGAGACATAGAAAATGGGAAAGCAGGCGAGATAGCCGTGATCGAGCTGGACCGCAATCCTTTGAAGGATTTCGGCGGCGGTATAGTCTACGACGGCACCCCGCCTCTGCGAACAAAAGGGCCGAAGCTGTGGCTGCTTCGGACACAAGATGTCAAGGAGAAGCGCCCTTGGCAAGAGCACAGCTTGCATAGGTACATGCTACAGGAGGAAAAAGCTATGCTCCAGGGGCACGACCCCCGAACCCCGTGGCTCTTCAGCAGCCAGACCCAAGCAGAGAAAGCAATCGGTAATGCTTACCACCCTTTGCATTTGGGCATCATGCTGTGCCCTTTGCTGGAGATTGCTTTCCTGCAGGGCAAGTTGAAGTCCGAGCCGCAGACCATTACTCAGGAAGAGTTGTGGCAGCTAACCCCTCCCCCAGAGGCAGCTCTGGCAGCTCAGCTGTCAGAAGTCAGAAGGCGATGAAATGGACGAGGATGAACAAGCCGCAGTTCACCCGGAGCCAACGATGCCACTGCCCATAAAGGTGAAGGTTGAGCCTGGGTGCAAGACTTGGGCAGTTCACCCGGAGCCAACGATGCCACTGCCCATAAAGGTGAAGGTTGAGCCTGAGTGCAAGACTTGGGCAGTTCACCCGGAGCCAACGATGCCACTGCCCATAAAGGTGGAGACTTGGGCTTCCGGCAGACTCAAAATGGAAAGGTCCAAGCGGGACTCTGTGGTGAATTTGGCTTCACCGCAGAGGCGGGTCCGGAGAAAGAGAGGCGACTGCTAGGTTGGCTAACAGATTAATTCGACAATTAGCAACCAAGCCGGTTGCTGCAAATTACGTGCAACCGTGCTGCTGGATGTGAATTAGACAGAAACTGAACGGCGAAAACAAATAGGTTTCATTGGAGCAGACCGAGGCACGACAGAGCAAGCCAATCCATTAATGTGTGATTCCCATAGCACACCCACATATTCATGCTAGGGGTAGGGTTTCAGCTCAGCAGAGCGAGAGTTCGCTGTAGGAGCCTTTGGTGTTGCTTTTGAAACCATGGATGAAAGAATCCTCTGAGCTTTTCCCGCAGCCGTGTTGGGCCGCTCTGCCCAGGGTGTTAACTGGTGGGTGTACAGTGTACAAGAGACTGCTGTTCTGTAGTGAACATGGCAGCTGCGGGATCGGCTGGGGAACCTGCGGCGGCGAGCGGAGAGACTGCACTGGGGGCACTGTGCTGCCAAAAGTGTGGCCAGTCGACGACCATGTCGCTGTCATCAGCGACTGGTCGAAATCCATTGCTCCGAGCCTGTAATGGCTGTTTGGCAACGGATCGCTGGATCAGCCGCATCACAACGAAACCCAAGAACCGCGAAGAAACTGAAGACGAAAAGCAAAGGAGGGCGAACGGTATGAAGATAAAAGAGGACCTCAAGAAGAAGTCGGCTGAAGAGAAGAAAGCCTTCTACCTCGAACAGAAAGTCAACCGCCAAGCGGAGGACCAGAAGAAGAAAAGGACGTTCTCGTCCGCGGTGGGATCCGTGGAGGAGTCGAGGGAGGCCGCGGCGCTGAGAGACGATGTCACGAATTACATACCCTTTAAGAAATGGGCGGCTCAGGAAATGGCACTCCGAATCTATTCGAGTCTCGGTGAGGCGAAGGTTGCCTGGGAGAAGTTGCTTCAGGATCCGAGCACAGTGAGCATAATGGAACACGGTGAGGCGCTCGTGTTGGATTATTCGGGCATCCAAGTCCGTGGACGACAGTCCCACAGCCTCAAGTCAGCCATGCGGCAGAGGATGGACATCTCCGAGCAGAAGGATTTGGATGAGTACATGGAGGAGTCCGACTCCCGCATCAAAAGGGGCCGGTCGAGGCTGGCTGTGGAGATGACCGCGAACTCGGAAAAGACCGGCGACGAGCCCATGTCCGTCATCCCACTGCTGACGGTTTCAAAGGATTTGAGCCAGCTGCGGGAACTGGAGGAGGCCCGAGATGCGGATCTGCAGATGCAGGCAATTGCCATAGAGGAAAGCCAGAGGCAGGAAAAGGAGGAGAGAAAGCGGAAGGCCGAGGCCGTCGAGAAGAGCCTGCCTCTGGAGAAGTTGGCCCTGCAGGCCTCCCGGAAGAAGGCCATCCAAACGATGGGAGATGTTGTCCTCCGGAACCAGGCGACAATCACAGCACTCTCCGCTGACAGCCACAAGCTTTGTGAGTTTGAGAACCAGGACCTGAAGGACGAACTGAAAGAGAAGATGAGCCACGTCGACCGGGCTATTGCGGTTCTGGGTGAGGAGATCGCCAAGTATGACTCTGAGTGGGAGAAGAAGGAAGTGGAGGCCACAACCACGGCGGATGAGATGGCCGAGCTCCGAGGGGAGATCGCAGTGGTCCTCAAGGGGTTCCACTCCAACAACGACTCATGCAAGAACGTGAAGAACAAGATCCAAGACGTGCGAATTTGGATGGCGAAGACGAAGAAATCGATCAACGAGCGAGAGAAAGCAGCTGCCAAAACAGCCGCTGGAAAGAAGATGGGCAAGCTTGCAGCAAGCATGCCCCTGGAAGCCTTGGCCGAGAAATTGGCGAAGGAGCTGACGGGTGAAAGCTCCTTTGGCAGCGTGGACTACAGCTTGACCCCCAAGCAGCTGCTGGAGAAGCTGGCCCCGGTCACCTTCGATCTTGCTCGGGGGAAGAGCCTCTGCGAGACAGTGGCCACCCTCGACTACTACCGACTTCAGCAGTCGTGGGTGCTTGAGAAGATGAAGGCGAGTGGGTCGAACTCCTGCTGTGCGGTGATATCCAAGAAAGCAGTCGCCAAAAGGCTGAAGGACCAGCTGATCCGGCAGTACCCTGAAATTGGCGACTCCGAGGGGGATGCGATGGCAGGATTCCCGACCGAGATGCAGGACACCTTCAGCTTGCAGTTCGGCCAGCGTTTGGGGGGCACAGCCTCGTTGTGGACCCGGACAGACATGAACTGCCCGATGCTCATGGTTTGCCTGGAGGGCAAGCTCACAGTGGGCGGGGTGCCATCGAAGCACCTGCAGGCCGCGACCTTGGCAGAGCTGCCCAAGAAGCTCGAGAAGATGAATGCCAAGGATTTGGCCCAGCTTGTGAAGACCAAGGGCTGGATGGTTCAGGTGCAGGCTCAAGGCAGCATCGTCATTCCGCCAGACACGTGCTGGTTCGAGGTTTCCTCGGGGGAGACTGTGCACAGCCTCAGGATGCTGATGGCTCGCGAGTCGCTGGCTGGGCCAATGAAAGCTTTCTTGGAGAAGATGCAGTCGGAGGGCAGTCTCCAGGATGGCGATTCTTACTCCAAGATGCTGGCATGGCTCCGAGGGAACAATGCTGCGGCATAGGCCAGCAAAACAAAGGCCGGGGCATCGATGCTGGATGACCCGAGCATCGCCCCAGCAGTGGCACCGATGCTGGATGACCGGAGCATCGCCACAGCAGTCCCACCGATGCTGGATGCACAGTGCACAGCAGAGGCGGCGATGCTGGATCGTGAGCATCGCCGCAGCAGCCCCACTGATGCTGGATGCACAGTGCACAGGGGGGGGCATTTTCAGAGTGAGTGCTAGGCGCTAGCTTACCAGGGTCCAGTAGTCGCACATGATGTCCATCAGAGAGATGCAAGGTAATAAGAGTGCATTTTGACCTGGGCCCGTGTTTTCCTCCATGATGCTAGCCTGACTTGAGGGGTGACCCGACCGCGAGAAAGTGATTGCTTGTGTGTGCATGTATGGATGTGTTCGTAGCTCGGCTAGTCTAGTTTGTTGCGGCACGAGGGTCCATGGATGCAAAATGTGGCTCAGAGCAGCACTCCAGCGAGGTCAGGGTACCGAGGAGAGCACAACGGGGATCCACAATAGCATGTTGCGCAGCATGGCATCCGACGAGCAACCTTCGGAATCCCCGATCTTCCCATCGCAGATTGATGTCTCCGATGGGGAGGAAGCCCTTGGCGAGACTCGTGAGAAATTTCTTCCGCTTGCTTCGCGAGGTGATGTGCTGAAGAGGAGCAAAAAGTTTTTCGAGGGAGACAAAGACCTTGAGTTATTCTGTCTCGAGCAAGAGCTCGAGACAGTTAAAGAGGAGAATGTCAAGCTCAAGCTCACGACGAAATCGCAGCAGGACTCCATCGCCGTCTTGAGCCAAAAGATCCATCAGCTGGAGTCGTCCAAAAGCCAGGGCAGCCAGGGCGAACGGTGGTTTGGCGAGAATGAACAGTTCACCTATGTAACCAAGCGAGGAATCCAAACCTTGTTTGGCGGCTCGTCGCCGTCTCAGCCGTCGCCAAAAAAAAAATCGCCAGCTCTCACCCTGACAAGGTGTGGAGGGCATTGCAAACCAGAAGAGTTTGCAGTGCCAAAGTTTTGACGGGAGCAAAGGGCCACCAGTAGGTTTGTGTGCCGTAGTCCTAGTTTTGACTCGTGTTGACAGGCGGTTGAAAAAAACAGGGAGTCCGAGTGCCGTGTGAGTGAGAGGGGCCACCCAAAAACCCTAAACACCTAACCTTCAAACCTAAACCCTACCTTAAACCCTAAACCCCAAAACCCTCAACCCTTAAACCTTAACCCTAAAACCCCAAACCCTAAAGCAGAGGAAAGTTTTGTGTTTGCACCGGGTAGGGACGCAGTTCTGACACGACATTTGTGTGCGAGCTGCAAAACAAACTGTTCGCGAATACTTGAAGCATTAGTTTCATGGCTTTGTGGGCAACATCACATAAAAGTGGCTGTAAGCTGAACATACCACCGTGTCCATCCGAATTATCGTGTAGGTGCCGCTGTTGGCACTATTTCGTAAGAATATCACTATGACGTCTGTTGCCACTTTTGGAGCCCGGGCCATTCTTATGGCGGTAATGCATCGTTTCTATTTCTGAAATAAACACGACCCAAGTTCCATCAATTTGGTACATCTGCACCGAAAGACACCTGCACTGGCAGTGAAAATGAGGTTCTGGGCTATAACTATCATTCGAGTCTCAAGTGAAAGTGATCGCCTCCTATTGACCGGCCCGCCGCTGCTTCTGTTGATATGTAAACAAAAGCCCGGAAATAGAGAGTTTTGGAACATTTGCAATTATGGGATGAACTCATATTGTTGTTGTTGGCCTCCAAACCCAGAACCTCGTGCCGGAAATTGTGTTTACCCCAAATATGGCCATATTTGCCCGAACCTCATAGCTTTTTGGGGTAGGGGTTTGGGTAGGTGCGCATGACCCGGGCCCCAGAGCAAACACCATAGCTGGTGAGGATACTGATTCGGATGCCACGGTTGACTATCGTGATGAAAGCTTGCTTGCTTTGGCTGTTGGAGACGACGACGTTTTGATTCGCCTTCCGTCGGACTTCAAGGTTCCGTCCTTTGTTCCGTTGGATGGTGATGGTTTTGCGTCGTGGTTGACTAAACAAGATAAAATCAAGGCAGGTACCCTCACGCCGGAGATGCAGCGCAAGTATGCCGCCGAAATTCGGAAGGCTAAACTTGAGGAGTTCAAGAGTTACTTGGACAATGATGCAATTCGGCTGACGGACCGTCGCAAGCTTAAAAACGATGTCAATTTTCTTACCGGACGTTGGGTCCTTACTGTGAAGGTTGACAAGAACGGTTACTTTTCCAAGTTCAAAGCCCGATGGGTTTGTCGTGGGTTTCAGGACAAGTTTGCCTGGGATCAACAAACGGACAGCCCTACGGCTACTCGGTATGGTTTCCGTTTGGTTGCGCAGTGCGCTGCCAATCACTATTGGGATCTTTTTCATTTGGATCTTAAGACCGCT